GTTTGCTATATTGTGTTTTGAAACATCTACTACACGATAGAAATGGAAACATTTTATTCCAATAGTGCTTTTAGGAGAAGATGAACTCGTGGCAGCCCGTCTGGTCGTCAAGCCATACGATGTGATATTTGACCCCTTCATCCAGACCCAGGAGGTTAGGCTGCCATGTAACTCTACGGGAGAACAGCCGGTCACGTACAGGTGGAGAAAGGATGGTCGGCTGCTAGATGTGGTGAGGACATCCAGTGTGCATGTGTCTTATCTGTTTACAGCAGGAGTCTTAGTACTGAAGTATATATAATGATTATTATATTGCCTCAAGCCCCAAGATCCCTAACCTAACTTATGTTTCTAAGTTCGTGGTACATGTGACGTTGTTTAGAATTCTTTCAGTATGTCACTCACTTCATACTCTTACCTTTTGTGACAGAATTCTCGGCAACCGCCATATGAAATGGACGCCGGCGCGCTGATCATCAAGAACCCAGAGAAGAGCAAAGATGAAGGAAGGTACCAATGTGTGGCAGAGAATGACTACGGCACGGTTGTCAGCAGACGGGCTGCTCTCACCTTTGCTTGTGAGTGAAGCCATGTTACATTACGATGACAGTTCACTGTTGAGCTAGTGACGACGTATCTGTAAAATGAAAGCAGCAACTTAATCTGCCAATAGGACGCGCAATTCTGATACTTTCGCCTACTTACTAAAGTCTTGGCTGCTTAACGACTTTTTCCCCAGATTCGGACCCGTTTGCCTCGACTCCGCGCCCTCCAGTGTCCGGACGTCAGGGGGAAGGAGCGGCTCTCCGGTGCCAGAAACCAGAAGCATATCCAGGTACATCACCACATTGATAGGTTCTATTCAACTTCCTTTCTACGGTCAAATGTTAAAGGTATGTTTTCCATGAACCTAAAACCTAACTAGCCAACCAACCAACCAACCAACCAACCAACCAACTAACTAACTAACTAACTAACAAAACAACTAACAGATGAGCTCCAAGCAGTTGAAATGCTGAGCTGAAAAGTTTTGTTAGTGTTATCATGTCGTCATATGTCATAACCAGTATCCTTTTTGTTTATCATGACCCCGTTAAGTTTCTCGACATGCTATTTGATGGTGTAATTTCTTCCCAATTCGCATTCTTTCTCCAATGATGATTGTCAGTGAGTCCCTAGCTTGCTTGTCAGTGGACAAACTAGCTCCGTGCTAGCGCTACAGGGACGAGTCAAAGTGGGACAACATGTCTGCATCTAATCCTGGTGTGGTGGGTCCAGTGCGGGTCCAGAAACCTCTTTCAGTCATACCTTCAATAGATCAGTGAACGATGCCTTACTATTGAATGTTTATTCCAGGTCTCATGTTCTTCTGGGTGGATTCAGGCTCGCTGGACCCGGCCTTCACGAGTACCGACCAGCGGGTGTACGTGTCCCAGAAGACGGGAGACCTGTACTTCGCCTTGGCTGAACGAAGTGATCCAGGAGACTACCAGTGTGTGGTGCGACTGTCTGTGGACGTAACGTCTCCCCTGCGTCACCTCAGCCCAACAGTCTCGCTCTCGGTTACAGCTCAAGCTCAGAGTACGTAATGTGTTGCGCAGTTACACGGCGTCACTTTCTCGTGGTTCAGTTTTTTTTATGTACTGTGACAAATCATGGTCCTTGAAGGCAAAATGCTTAAGACATTGATTGAGAGAACCATACGACAACACATTTCTATAAGTTACCGTTGCTACAGACCTCTTTTCAATCAATACAATTTGGCTGAAAAGATTATGGCAGTTTCCTTATTAGTTTTTACACGTAGTATCGTGTAAGAAATGGAAGAGATTTAAGTTACAAATAGTTGGTAACTTGAAGTATCTGTATCTTTTAGCCCCATCTCAATCGGCCCCTAACTTGGTTCTTCACGAGGGAGGCTCGATATCGTCCGTTACCCATGCCACCGTCCTGATGGAGGGCTTCGCCTACGGAAAGTGAGACGTGTTCCTTACAGTCCCACATTTATGATGTGGTTATACTACCAATATTTCATTATTTCTATCGATCATAAATCTTGACATAATTGTTGTAATACATATATACAAAGGAAGAATTGTTTTTCGATCAAAAGATGTATATTTCTAGGTGTACACCAACCTCCCGTTACTAACTCAACGACCCTTTTCTGACTGTGTTCTAATGTCGATTCTGCTCTTCGTTAGCCCCATACCAACCCTGACGTGGCGGCGTCTGGACGCACAAGGCAATGAGGTCCCCATGCCCCCGGCGGATAGACGGACCATGGAGACTTGGAACAGATCACTAACCATCTCTGACGTCAGACGAGAAGACGCAGGTTTCTATGAGGTCACCGCTACCAACAGTTTGGGCTCACAGTCACAGAGAACTCAACTCGTCGTCAATGGTAATTCATGCCAAACCTTGGGGTACTGGTCAGATGTAGATGTAGTAGTAGTACTGCATTATAATCATGATTTATTCCGTTATTATTAATGTCACACGTGGCATTTTATGATTGGACACTAAGCAAGTAGTCGAAGCACCTATACGTTTGTCGCTCATCTTGTTGAGCAAAAACACGGAAAGAACATGTGTAAGGTAGGCTTATTACATT